GCGAAAAATAAATCAACTACTTCGACTTACATTACTTCGCGATATCATATTTTTTGAATAATATCACATTGTAATTTTTTCTAAGTAGAGTATAGGTACAAAATAATTCTTGTAGATTATAAAGGTTTATTTTTAGATCATATTTTTTTCTCCCTCCATTTTTTTAAATAATATATCATGTCTCCCTTTTATCCCAACAGATTATAAATTCGATCGACGTAACACGGATGACAGAAAACAATTCGTTGTCTAAGATAACTCGCAATAAAAGTTTACCGGGTCAAATGCTCGAGGAGGATGTTCCTGGATGAAGACGCGGAGAGAAATCGGAGAAGCTGTCAACGGAGCGCCATGCATCTGCCACTTATACGCGCCACCACCCTCGACCCGGGGTGTACCTTTTTTCCCACAATGACGCTCCACTTCGTTACAATTATCGCCATTATTCGGGCGTGAGGAGAGAAAAAGAGAGAGCGTTTTAACGCGCAAGCCGCACGCACAATGGCTCGATATATATCTATACACCGATGCATCTTCTCACATACACATACGAACAGATATGACCCGGCCGCATCGATTTTTCCCTCGATCGCTCGTTTTATTGTGTTTTGACAGCGGCGAGCTCTGGTTTCGCGCAACCACCTCCGGTCGGCTTTTACCGTCTCGCGCAGTCGTAGCCATCGTCGGGAGATTGATGTTATCAACGTTCGAGTGTGTCCCGCGAATTCGAGAGCACCTTACATACACCCTCCGTCATCGTTGTTCGCACCCTCTTGCTAGCGATCGTATCTGATCGGACCAGATATAGAGTTACGTGAGGGAGAAGAAAAAGAGTGAGTTCCAGATCCCGTTTCGGCGTAAGCAAATACGAGTTATTTCGAGGAGAAGGGAAGAGCCTCCTTTGTGACGGCTCGTTTTATCGCGCCTATCTACGCGCGATTTTCACTGTTGCCGATAATGCAATGTCCCGGCTACGTACATAGATCCGTAGCCGGGTGCCACATTCGCGGAGCGAAAAAGCGCGCAAAGTGGATTATGCCGGGAAATTGCATCTTTTTACACGACGCGATATGTTCGCGCAAATTTGCCGTTAAATGCGGCGCTAAGAGCCGTACTTACGTTCAATACGTTCTTCGTCAGATTTATTTAATTATACGGCTAGGTTGTATACATTGTTAGGTCTGAAAACAAATCTGATTAGAATCATTTTCGCTAAATAGAATTATATGTATACGCTGACAAAAATTATTAAATTCGTAAGTATTTTAATGTTGCCTAATAAATCACTTATTTGAAACTAATAAATATTTATCTGTTTCGAAAAGGATTTTCTTATATATTCGTTCAATACGTTCTTCGTCAGATTTATTTAATTATACGGCTAGGTTGTATACATTGTTAGGTCTGAAAACAAATCTGATTAGAATCATTTTCGCTAAATAGAATTATATGTACGCCGACAAAAAAAGTATTTTAATATTGCCTATTTGAAACTAATAAATATTTATCTGTTTCGAAAAGGATTTTCTTATATATTCGATACATTTTTTCAGGGTACAATATTCTCCTTCTCGAGCAAAAACCTTTCTATATATTACATTAAATTGCGCACAGTAGTAAACTATATCACGATGCGCCTTTAATAAAACTTGCTTATACTATAATTGTGTCTAAATCCAAGAGAGGCATTTTTAATTTATATATAAAAATTAAAAAAAATATATATATATATAACAAATAAATATATCTTTTAAAATTAATTTCTCATGTTATATAATATTTCTCTTTCGACACAAGTCAGTCACTAGGTTACACAATACAACATATATAGTTAAAAAAAGCTTCATAAAATTGCGCTACATACGAAAATTATAATTCGAGGAATATTTTTACATTCGAAACTGTGGAAACTCACACGCAACGTACACCGATACTGATAACTGCTATTGACGAGGTATCAATCGCCCATCACGTTTCCGACGATAAACCTTCGATAGTAGCAATATTTTCCAACGCAAAAATCATACTATGTCGAGGGCTCGACGTCTGTCTTGTCGGGCGGACAACGCGATACCGCTATCTGCAGCCGTCGCACGTACGGGATCTACCGGGTGACACCGTAATTCTGCCAATGAAAACGTTTCGCGGGCTCATTTTCGCACGTTCGCTCCGAAAACGCCAACGTTGTATGTATTTCCGTTGCAGCAATTCGGCCAACGCACAGAGAGAAAGAGAGAGAGAGAGAGAAACGCGAAGAGCCGCGACAATGGGAGGGAAGGGTAGTTAGTGGAGGGTGAATTGTAGAGAAGAGGAGACGCAACAATTGCAACCCGAGCCGCGTTTAGGGTATATAAACGCCATATTGCTCCGCGTCGCCCCTCTCGGCTGCGCTCCCTCCCCTTCATCCCCTACTGATTGAAAATAGTGTTTTTGTGCAAGCCGAAACGGCAGATATGAAACCAGCATGGCGGATGCTTACAAATAGTTGCGGGGCGGCGACTACGTATACCTATATAAATGCGCGCAACCCTCTCGGGCTCCTCGCGCCTTTTGTCCGCGAATCGCGACCACGAAAGGATTTTCTGACGAGCGAGGGTCGCGAGAACGACGGAGGGATGTCCCGACGGAATCCTCCGATCTTCCCGTCTTTCTTCCACGTCCTATATCGCGTAATGTCTTTGTCATCGCGGCGGTCCTTCGTCGACTCCAAAAGCCGAAGGCCCAATTTCGGATCGGTTGTAAAAGGAAAACCGGTTGTTGTCACGCAAAGATGACAATATTAAGGTTCTAATCTCGTAAATGTATCATTTGATGAATATCGAAGACGAAAATTTGGTTAAAGTTAGCTTCAGTGTGATGATAATTCTTAAGGCCCAATTTCGGATCGGTTATAAAAGGACTTAATTAGGGTCGAAAACCGGTTGTCACAGAAATGGCGCAAAGATGACAATATTAAGGTTCTAATCTCGTAAATGTATCATTTGATGAATATCGAAGACGAAAATTTGGTTAAAGTTAGCTTCAGTGTGATGATGATTCTTAAGGGCCGAAGACCCAATTTCGGATCGGTTATAAAAGGATCTAAAAAGGAATTGGGGAGGAAAACCGGTTGTTCTCACGGAAATGGCGCAAAGATGACAATATTAAGGTTCTAATCTCGTAAATGTATCATTTGATGAATATCGAAGACGAAAATTTGGTTAAAGTTAGCTTCAGTGTGATGATGATTCTTAAGGGCCGAAGACCCAATTTCGGATCGGTTATAAAAGGATCTAAAAAGGAATTGGGGAGGAAAACCGGTTGTTCTCACGGAAATGGCGCAAAGATGACAATATTAAGGTTCTAATCTCCCTCGTAAATGTATCATTTAATGAATATCGAAGACGAAAATTTGGTTAAAGTTAGCTTCAGTGTGATGATAATTCTTAAGGCCCAATTTCGGATCGGTTATAAAAGGACTTAATTAGGGTCGAAAACCGGTTGTCGCAGAAATGGCGCAAAGATGTACGTATGTTGTATTATTTGAAAATATTAAGGTTTTAATAGGAACAGAGAATTAAAGAAAATGATAATTCAATGTTTATTCGATTTCTTGATTTTTAATGGATCTAAGATAGATTTGAAATTTATATCCTCCCTCGTAAATATTATTTAATGAATATCGAAGGCAAAAATTTGATTAAAGATAAATTAGCTTCAGTGTGATAATAATTCTTAAGCAATGTATAGAGTCAGGCTTTTATTAACACAGCTTTGAATTAAAATATTAAAGATTAGGTTTGAAATAAATTCGAGAAAAATTCGTGGATCATTGAGATATATATTTTCGTAGCGATTAAAAATGATCATGCATAATACAAAAATATAATTGCATTTTTATTCCAATCAATATCTGGATATACATATATATATATATATCTCCAGATTTTTAAGTGAAACAGAAAATTGCAAGTAAACGCGTAAAATGCAAAGCTGAAAATAGTTCTAGGAGGAGTTGTTAATTACAACAACTAAACTTGTAAAAGCATTAGCCACAGCGCAGCGTAGTGTATCCCGTTTTGAATTTCGACATTTAAAATTTCAAGTATTATTCCGTTCCGTCAATTATGTATATAATGAAATTACACGAAATTTTTACCCGAAATGAAAAAATTCGGACAACTTTCAACAAGCGTCAGAATGAGGGATCGACCAACCTTGAGCTTCAATCTCCATCGTCGAGAGCTTCGGAACGAACAGAGCGACACGCACGAAGTTCGAGAGAAAGCGATGCATGCTTCTTCCGGCATCTCCGAAACTCACGGTGCAGCCGCGATGCGTTCTGAAAACGGGAAACACGCATCGATCGCCTCTCGCAACAACTCCCCGGTCCAGGATCGGCTATGATATCAAGCTACGTTAGAGATAAGAGAGACACACCACCATCGTCAGGGCCGTCATCGTCTTCACTACCGCCCCCGGTGGCCAGAATATGCCGGCCGGGATCAATATCGCAACATCGTGGGTGTGACGGCTCGGTGGTGGGTTCCATCTTCACCGACCCTCGGCGCCTCTGATTGGTCGGCGTTCCCGCATTTCAGTTTCCCTCGCCGCGTAGCGAATGTCACGCTCGGGGTTCCCCACACTATATGCAGAACGGGATCCCCAGTGCGATGGGCGGGCTCGGCGTTATGCGGGGCCCCCGGTGGATGGAAGTGGGGCGAGAAGCCGAGCCGGTCGACGAGGTAGTCGCACGAACGACCGAGGGATCATAAATCATGACCAGTCGGCCGCACGGTGCGCATCGCGACAAACAGGGTGAAAACTGGAAAGGCACCGCGATCTCGTTGGCGGCCCTCGACGTCGCCAACCCCGGAGCCGGGTTTACCGCGACGACGGATTACGGCGAGTAGTTTAGTGCGTTTTTTTTTAAAAAAAAAAAGAGTGCTCCGATATACAGTTTTTCTCCGGTGGTCCCACGGTTCTCCAATCATCGTCGACTCCATGACTACGTAGTTCGAGGTGAAAAGGTCGTCGCTGACGCGATCGGTCGTCGACCTTGGGAGGACGATCAGTTTGGTATCCGTTGGAACAATCGGTGGTTCTGTGTATAAACTCGGTTCATCATCATCATCATCATCATGTGTAGCAACGAGAGCCCGCCGCCAGCGAAGGAATCCTTGGCCGTCGGTCTGGGTAATCATATGGCCAACTTTATCCCTAGTCTCGAGCACTATCGGCTTCACCTGTACCACTATCACGCGATGGCGGAACGACTGCGACTGGTGGGTTTCAACTCGCAACATCCCGGTGTGGCGACTGCACACCCGGCGTCAGGCACGTCAGCGGCCCATCTGGGTTTGGGTCCGGGTTTTCCGGCGCCCATGCCGCTGTATCCAGCCGCAGCGGCCGGCTATCCCGGTCGACTGGCCCTGTCCATGGCGCTGTTGCATCCGCATCATCAGCGAATACCCGAAGAACCAAAACCCCAGCACAGTTACATCGGCCTGATCGCGATGGCGATCCTGTCGTCCCCGGAGAAGAAACTCGTGCTCTCCGATATCTATCAGCACATCCTCGAGCATTATCCCTACTTCCGCACTCGCGGACCCGGCTGGCGCAACTCGATCCGGCACAATCTCTCGCTCAACGACTGCTTCGTCAAGTCCGGCAGAAGCGCCAACGGCAAGGGTCACTATTGGGCTATACACCCGGCGAATTTGGAAGACTTTCGACGTGGCGATTTCCGCCGACGCAAGGCTCAGCGCAAAGTGCGCCGGCACATGGGTCTGGCAGTGGACGAGGAACCAGATAGTCCCAGTCCACCACCTTTGCCAGCTACTCCACCACCCCCAACAGCCCTTGGTCCCACAACGGTGGCCTCGCAACAGATATCCGCGATATGGCCGCATCATCATCACCATCCGCAGCAACAGCAGCAGCATCAGCAACAGCAGAACTCCTTTCAGACCCAGTCCCTTCGACAGTCGTCCTTTCAGCCGAGGAAGCGGCAGTTCGACGTGGCGTCTCTGCTGGCGCCGGACGATCAGCACCAGATCGAGGCCGACGTTCTCAAATCGATCAAGTCGCGCAAGTTCAGTTGCAGCGAGGACGAGCTGCAGGAGGCCGATCAGGACGACGAGGACGTCGACGTCGACGTGGTGGCCGACGCGAACGCCTTGGTACCGTTGCCCGGAACGTCGCCCTCGACCAGCCCGGATGTGCCCAAGGTCGCGTCGCCGACCGCTCATTGGAACAGTCAGAGTGTACAGAGCGGCGGCGGCCAGCAGCAGCAGCAGCAGCAGCAACAACTGCACCTTCACAATCATCTGCACGTCAGCAGAAACTACTACATCCCGGCTAACTCGACCGGCGGCTCCAGCGTCTAATGGCGAGAGCTTGGAAGAAGCCGGGCGATCCGCGCGGCAGGTAGCTGCTCGTGTTTCAAGTGCATCCACGATATTCTGAGTCTTCTATATACTTTCCACGTGGTTTCGAGAGCTCTGAATGTATGCGTATCCCACTCTCCCATTATTCTCCTCGGCAAATTTATCTAGGCGAGATTCCTCGAGATACACTTATTCGGTTTTCGAACGAAGGAGCTTCTTCTCTAAACTTCGGTCAAAAAATGTCACTAATAACGAGGATGTTTTCATTACTTTGAAGTGCAAAATTTAATTGTAAAGGGATATAATATTAAAGGATTGCTTCATAATTGAAATTACCTTGTTCAATAAAAAAATGAAGAATAGAACTTAATTAAGTGATGGTTTTCCTTGACATTAATTTGATTAAAGAATATGTCATCACAAAAAATGCGACAAGTGGGATACACTGCAAAAGTTTGAAAATGATACCTACAGGCTCAAAAGACGCGTAATTAAACTCTAGAGAGGACGGTTGAAGCTTGAACAAATTTTAACAGTCTTATAATTGTCCAGCATAAATAACGTGCATTTAGCTCATTGTAAAAAAAGCAATATATAATTGAATTAGTATACTATTTAAACAATAAATCATATATTATGTATATATTTTTATTTTAAATTATTTATTTATAAATATATATTTTTTATGTTAAATATTGTATTAAATATTATATATTATTATATAAATTTGTAACATATATTATTATACATATATCGATTCAAACAGTCAAGTATAAATGTGTTCAGTCCAAGTATCATTTTTAATGCTAGTCGTATATTCAGACATCGCGAAACGACAATTCTAAGAATAGGAGAGTAGAAATATAATCGATCAAAACTAGCGTAATATTTCGTTTATTAAAATCACTACGTTTCGACCATGTGGTTGTGGTCCTTTTCAAGTGAACAACAATATATAATTATTAACATACGCAATTCAATATATGACAAAATTGAAACAATAAACTAAAATCACTTACAATATATATCGTTAAATTTTTATATTACTGTCGATAATTATTAGACTATAAATATATAAAAGTCAAATACGAGAAATAGTCAACGTGTCACGCCGAAGGATCGTCAAGTTTTAATATATTTTTAATAAGCATTCTATTCTGTATCCCTCTGTGAATTTATGTTATTATTTTGTTTTTTCATTAAAATGTTTTTCATTAAAAAACAAAATTATAACATAAATTCACAAAGGAATGCTTAACGACACGTACAACAAAATTATAAAGGTCGTGTAAATCTGCTTATTAAAAATATATTAAAACTTGACCCTTCGGCGTGACTATTTCTCGTACTTTCAATCGTTTGACTTTTATATATTTATAGTCTAATAATTATCGACAGTAATATGAAGATTTAATTTAATGATATATATTGTAAGTAATTTTAGTTTATTGTTTCAATTTTTGTCATATATTGAATTGCGTATGTTAATAATTATATATTGTTGTTAGTGTTCACTTGAAAAGGACCACATGGTCGAAACGTAGTGATTTTAATAAACGAAATATACGCTAGTTTTGATCGATTATTTTTACTCTCCTATTCTAATAATTAGTGACAAGGATTAATAATTTGAGAATTATTAATTCTAAGAATGTTTGAAAGATATTCTTATGACATTGTTATTATTTTTTACACACGCGTAAAAAAATGTGCGTAGATGATTTGCGAAACGAATAAGATGGACAATTTGCGAGTAAAAATTGTGAAATTACAACACGCGAAAAGTGAATCAATCTATTGCCGATTATGTTTCTAATAACATCACAGCAAGATTGCATTCTCGCGTGGTGCTCGCGCTTTTTTACGTCGCTCTGTATGATAAAACATAGTTCCGATTTGTCGTTTTATTGGAAATTTAACGAAAAAAACGAGAAAAAGTTAAGAGAAATTGTCGTCCACAAGATTTTCACAACGATCGAAAAATTTACCTTACAAGGGAACCTCGCGAATCCGAAAATTCTGATTTTGATGAACTTTACAATATGTACGAGGAATAAAAAATGAATTTAGAAATTTTTAATATTGCGATCCAAAAATAATTCTATGGAACAAAACTACTTTTATATATATATGTGTGTGTGTGTATGCAGAACAGTTTTTCTTGACATATCTCGAAAGAGAGTATTTAAAAATCAAAAAATGTTTTATACAAAAGTTTTATGGTAAAAACATTTCTATTCATATAAATACATTAATAGCATTTTTAGAAAATAATCAAGAAATTTTTTTAATCTTTGAAAAAAATTATACTTCCAAAATTTAATTAATGTTATCAAATGAAAACATTCTTACCATGATACTTTTGTATAAAAAATATTTTTGATATTTCAAATGCTTTTCGATATATCGAGAAAAACAAAAACCTACATATAAAAGATGGTTTTAATTGTTAGAATTGTCTTTGAACGCGCAAGTAAAAAATTTCTAAATTCATTTATCTCTCCTATATGTATGTAAAGTTTGATCAAAATCTGAATTTTTTCTGGGTTTCCTCCTGTCAGACGTTCATATTTGGCATTCGAATTAAAATATCAAGACAGTACAAAATGTTTGACAACTGTCGTAGAAACGTTTAAGAAACGTTGTAAAAATGTCTAAAAAAGTTGCTAATATTGTTGTAAATATTGTTTGATTTTTATTTATATTATATTAAGTTTTTTTTCTTTAGACTCGATTTTTTCAAATGTCTTTCATATAATTAGTTTTCCAATTATGAGCGGGTTTTCTCAGATAAATGACTAGCTTCCTGTCGACGGGCAATCTTTCTCACCTAAGCATGAAGAATAATTCGAGTTCGACGATTCGAATATGAACTTCGATTACGCATGGAAAACTTATACTTGTATCATATAGATAGATGTTTAAGAGAAGATTATATATAGACTGGAATTTGACGATAGGATCTCAGCGTGGAATTTATGACGCGAGTACACTGAAAAAAAATTTGTTAAATTGACAAATATTTAGTTCAATACTGTCAACATAAATCATTTATTTGAAACAAATATTATTTGTTTCGAAAAGGATTTTTCTTATATCAAATAAATATTATTAGTTCTAAATAAATGATTTATTTGACAGTATTGAAATAAATACTTATAAGAATTAACTAAATTTTTTTCGGTGTACCATAATCCTATATAAATTATTTATTTTCAAAAGTATAAAATGTATAAAATGCGCGTATCTTTCTAATATATAAATAAAATTAAGCTTATTGATATAAGATATTTATTTATAGTATGCTATATATTTGCGTTGTAATATACACAGTTATTTTGTTTAGAAAATTTCAAAACAGATATATATATAAAAGGAGGATTGAAAAAAAAAATCCAAACACTGTCTTGCGAAATTCAATGGACTATACTTTTGAAATAAAAGGCTCGCATTGAACGCTGAGATCTAAATCGCCAAATTTAAGATTTTTTGTAAATACGAAGACCGGAAACGACGGCGCGGTAGGAAGCTGATGTGCGTGGGGCATTACGTTCAGACTGATTAACGATGGGCGCGATCTCCGCTTTTTCAAAGTGTAATATAAAAGTCGATTTAAGAGATTTAACACCTATGTATAAGCGCATCCTCCCCATTGCATAATCTACGTTGGTAGAGACGGTATAACGAAGATATATTCTGTACAAACCCGAATATTTCCCTACCCAAATTCATCCCCCTGTATGTATGTATGTAATGTATCGATGTATCGTACCTGCGTATATAATTCACACACGTCCGAAACGCGA